ATGATTCTTTCTATTCCATTCGCCTGAGCGCTAGGAGACTCGAACTGGGGACCCGTATATATGTGCGGCCAATGCTCTATCGACCGCGCTATTGAGTGGCCTTAATAAGAAAGTGTGGATGATAATTGATACTTTCTATACTGTTGATGTGGTCTTCTCACTCGCTCATTTAAGCTTCGCTAGTACTCAAAGACCCGGGTACTCAAAGTACTCGGAATTTAGTAACCAGACACTCCCTCGAGTACGAGGGTCGAGTACCGACCAGAAATGTCGATCGATCACGAGGATATATAACCCAACAACCCGTCTGACTGACTGACTGTCTGTCTGTCTGTCTGTCTGTCTGTCTGTCTGTCTGACTGTCTGTCTGTCTGTCTGTCTGTCTGTCTGTCTGTCTGACTGTCTGTCTGTCTGTCTGTCTGTCTGTCTGTCTGTCTGTCTGTCTGTCTGTCTGACTGTCTGTCTGTCCACAGATCAAACCATTGTGGTCTCTGATCCACCGCCTCTCACCCAATCTTTTGTATTTGGATTCAATGGCTTTGTTGACTGATTTCATTTATAACTTTTGATCGGGTTCACGCGTGTTGTTAATGGGGATGAATGATGATCTGAAATGGAATTCGATTGTCCTCTTTCCCTTTCCCTTTTTGGTGCTGATAGTGATAATTTGGTGTTCACATTGAGTTTGGGACAGGTGTCCTGTATTTTAACATTTCTGTCATTAATAATTACGCTTTGAAACGTACTGCAATTATTGGTTTTACTGAAGGGGATATTACTAGTTCGGAACTCGTATTGTATCGGGGAGCCGGTCGGCCGAGCGGACAGCACGCTGGACTTGTGATCTCAGGCGCCGGTGAGAAACAATGGACAGAATTTCTTTCACCCTATGCCCCTGTTACCTAGCAGTAAAATAGGTACCTGGGTGTTAGCCAGCTGTCACGGACTGCTTCCTGGGGGTGGAGGCCTGGTCGAGGACCGGGCCGCGGGCACACTAAAAAGCCCCGAAATCATCTCTAAGATAACCTCAAGATGCTACTATAGGTTCCGGATTGTAATTTTAAAATATATCCTAATGATCAATACATTCTTAGGAAGTCTGAACCTAGTTGAGGGGGTTGGGAGGTTCTTGAACTTAGTGAGGAATGAGAACCTTGAACTTGGTGAAGGGGATCTTGAATTCAGTGGGGTAAGGGTTCTAATCTTAGAGGAGGAAAGGTTCTAATCTTCTGTATTATGCATTTTCCATTCATCTACTCTCCACTCTACTTCTACTCCTGAATCTCTACTCCTGAATCTAATGACACCACGATTTGGTTGGTGTCATACTTTTATAATCTTACGATGGGATCGAACCCTCGTTCCTGAACCCCGTCTTGACCTTGCAGACTGATCAAGGATGGACTCTGCGACAGGAACACGGCGCCCTCAGTCTCCGCCATCTCCAGACTCCTTCGAGGCAAAGATGACGACGACGACCCCAAGAAAGCCAAAGATGGTAAGTACCCCCCTTGAAGGATTCCATTTTCTATTATTATCATTTTTTATGGATGGGACAAACATACAATTTTCTATACAATGAACAATACACCCTAACGTGCCTGCAGCAATGATTAAATCTGTAAGGGCCGTGATATGATAGGCGAGGACTGGGCCTCGGGGCTTAGATTCCCCGCGGCCCGGTCCTCGACCAGGCCTCCTTTTTGTTACACACCCCCAGGAAGCAGCAGCCCGTAGCAGCTGTCTAACTCCCAGGTACCTATTTTACTGCTAGGTGAACATGGGGGGGCATCAGGGTGAAAGAAACTCTGTCCATTTATTTCCGCCTTCACCGGGGATCGAACCCAGAACCTCAGGACTACGAATCCCGAGCGCTGTCCACTCAGCCGTCAGACTCCCTGACGCTCATATTCTCTACAACATATAGAAGACCAAATACAAAATATTTGGATCTAAGGGAGTCTCGTTCAGGGATGCAAGTAGAACTTACAACTTAAAAAAAAACTTAAAAACAACTTAAAAGTTGTCTAAGGTGCAGCTTAAACTGTTGGGCAAGTGTCCCTCATCAGTCGTTGACCTGAGGGTGAGTTTTAATTATCAGAGAAAAGCGCCAAGCCATTGCAACTATATAGCACTGGGAAGGAGTCAGGATAAGGATTTGGGATGGGGGGCAGGGAAGGAATGGTGCCCCAACCACTTGTAGACAGTCGGGGATTGAACACCGGCCTGCATGACTTGAGGGGTGAATGAGGTGTGAACACTGTCCAGCTACCAAATAGAACCACAATAATAGCTGGAAGTGCACCTACCAGCCAGACCACGCAGGAAAAACAACAGTTCGAGTCCTTTTAAGAGCCCCACACACACACAAAACGAACCAAAAGCCTTAAAAAGCCTCCCACAAGAAGACGTCCAAAGATCTCACAATAAACGCAGGTTCGAATCCTCGTCACGGCCCTTGTGGATTTGTTCAACTCACAATAAACTTTAAATGCTGAATGACCATCGTAAAAAAAAAAAAAAAACTGAAACTGAATCCCTTCTTGGAGATTAGACAAAGAGATTCCACAGTCAATCCACGATATACATATTTGCTTCACACGTCTGGGGACCATTGTTCGAGCCTCCTAGTGCCCAGGTGAATGGAATACCACAGTGACAGTGGTCTAGAGACAACGGAAGATAGCCCACATGGGGTTATCTTTACTCTCTCGGCTCCTTGAAGATATCTTTTGATGGAGCGGCCGTATTTGTAAAGAATTCCTTCTTCAGACGCCGCGGAAAAAATTGAATCACTTGAGATTCTGATATATATCAGAATATATATATATATCTATATATATCAACCTTGTTAAATGTTAAAATGATACTTGCGGTCTTGATATATTAAGGTACTTGCTATCGTTATATTTTATATTCAAGTACGCGATTTAATCTATATCTTGATATCATCTAGTAATCCTAATTTTGATAGTATCTATTAATCGTAATTTTAATATCTATTAATCATAATTTTGATATCATCTATTAATCTTAACTCTGATATAATGTATTAATAAACCTATAGCCATAATATATTCTATTAAGGTACTTGCCTATAGGACTAAGCCTATAGTCATGATATAGGCTATTAAAGGGCCCTGGTAGTACACTTCTGGGTTCGAATCCCGGGCAAGGGATAGAAATAGTTGGGCACAGTTCCTTTCACCTAATACCGCTGTTCACTCGGGAGTTAGTCAGCTTGTTGTGGGGTTGCATTCTGGGGAAAGGGGTCAGTATTTCAACCTTTGGGGGGGGGGGATATCGATATAAGCCTAACATGTACTATGTGTATATATATATACACTGGCTTCCTGTCCCCCCGACTCAATGAATTATTAAGGTACTTGTGGTAATGACATATTCAATAAAGGTATATTCAACATTTTTATATACTCAATAAAGGTATATTCAACATTTTTAAATATTCAATCAAGGTATATTCAACATTTTTATATACTCAATAAAGTTATATTCAACATTTTCATATATTCAATAAAGATATATTCAACATTTTCATATATTCAATAAAGGTATATTCAACATTTTTATATACTCAATAAAGGTATATTCAACATATTTTATATATTCAATAAAGGTATATTCAACATTTTTATATACTCAATAAAGGTATATTCAACATATTTTATATATTCAACATATACATATACTCAATAAAGGTATATTCAACATATACATATACTCAATAAAGGTATATTCAACATATACATATACTCAACAAAGATATATACAAAACACGACTTATATTCGTTTTAAAAATGTGCAACAATTAACTTTTAGAATTTCTAGTTTAATTATTTAAACGCTATTAAAAAAATAGGTCAGAATTCACATAGGAAATATATTGTCAACATTTAAACCCCGCTGGTCCAAACTGATAGTTAACAAAACCCTATAATTTCAACTTTTTGGCGTGTGTGAACCTTTTTTTTTGTGTTATTTGCTTCAGTACAAATATTAAATAATAAATGAGGAACCAGCACAGAGGAGCATGAGTTCTCAAATAACAAATAGATTGAGCATTTATTTTTGTTCTCAAATAACAAATACATTGAACATTTATTTTTGTTCTCAAATAACAAATAGATTGAACATTTATTTTTGTTCTCAAATAACAAATACATTGAACATTTATTTTTGTTCTCAAATAACAAATAGACTGAGCATTTATTTTTGTTCTCAAATAACAAATAGACTGAGCATTTATTTTTGTTCTCAAATAACAAATAGACTGAACATTTATTTTTTGTTCTCAAATAACAAATAGACTGAGCATTTATTTTTTGCCAAAAAGTCATTTTGCTTTGAATTATCGTGATGCAGTTTTAAATCCAGTTTTAAATCCAGTTTTAAATCCATGTTCATCATTGGCATAATTTAGTTTGATAAGAATTAAATTCTTGTCATCTTAAAATAGTGTTATGCAGAGAATTAATAGGGAAAGTGTTGTGTGTATTTTCTAGAAATAGGACTAGAGAATGAGAGGAAGATTCTTAGAGTATTTCTCTGTCTCTCTGACAACTATATAAGCATTTGTATCGTTCCCATACAATAATGGCGTCTTGCAGGTCTGCGTTCGATCCCCCACAGGGACCATTCCGTTCCTCCGTCCTATTCATTCCTCCCCTGTCTCTCTTTCTCATTCCTCTTCCTCCCTGCGTCCTTTCCCTAACTCCTGGTCTCTTATTTTCTTGCTTATCTCCTCTTCTTATTTATTTAACTTCCATACTTCCGTTCCCATTAATCATCCCATTTTTATTCCTATCTTCCGTTTCCCCTTCATTCCACCTCCCTTCCCCCCCTATTCACGCCCCACGACCCCCTCCCCTCTCACTTTCACACCATCTCCCCCCTCCAAGACCCCTCTCCCCCCTCCTACCCCATTCCAAGACCTCTCCTCCCCCCTCCAAGACCCCTCCTTCCCCCTCTAAGACCCCTCCTTCCCCCTCCAAGACCCCTCCTCCCCCCCTCCTACCCCCCTCCAAGACTCCTCCTTCCCCTCACAATCTCTCCTCCCCCCTCCAAGACCCCTCCAAGACCCCTCCTCCCCCCTCACAACCCCTCCCTCCCCCCCACAACCCCTCCCTCCCTCCCCTCCACAACCCCATCAAACACACTCATGGGGCGCCCAACAATGAGTATTAAACGCAAGCTTAGCACCTCATAAAACCGGCTTACCGGCCTCTCCAACGATCCCCAGACACCAACTGAGCCTTCGACCATGTCAGCTGAACGCCTCTCAATTGATTTTTGTCGTAGTAACCCGGTTATTACCCCGAGAGGGTCGTTCGAACGACGACAACGTCAGAGAGTGAATGCTATATAAATTCAGGTCATTTAGTGGTAATTTAAGCTTCGTCATTAATGTAACAATGATATGTCTATGATATATTTTATTTTTTATGTCGTGGCTAAAGGGGTCGCATTTGGTTTTAACCAGGCCGCCGGTTCGATCCCTTCTCCGTACCGCGCCATGAGTTTCACAAAACGTGTAATATTATATACGTATTTTATTTTTAAATATCTTTGTACCTCGTTTTGTGTGTCTGAGAAGTTCTGGCCTCACATTGTGTTGGAGTATCAGGCTTGATATCAGGTATCAGGCTTAATATCAGGTATCAGGCTTAATATCAGGTGTCAGGCTTAATATCAGGTATCAGGCTTAATATCAGGTGTCAGGCTTAATATCAGGTGTCAGGCTTAATATCAGGTATCAGGCTTAATATCAGGTATCAGGCTTAATACCAGGTGTCAGGCTTAATATCAGGTATCAGGTTTAATATCAGGTATCAGGCTTAATATCACGTATCAGGCTTAATATCATGTATCAGGCTTAATGTCAGGTATCAGGCTTAATATCACGTATCAGGCTTAATATCAGGTATCAGGCTTAATGTCAGGTATCAGGCTTAATATCAGGTATCAGGCTTAATATCAGGTATCAGGCTTAATATCAGGTATCAGGCTTAATATCAGGTATCAGGCTTAATATCAGGTATCAAGCTTAATATCAGGCTTAATATCAGGTATCAGGCTAGATACATTTGGGATTTTCTCTCTCTCTCTCTCTCTCTCTCTCATTTATAGTTATCTACGTTAAGTATACAAGTTAAAGCTTCATTCAGCATTGCAAAGGCATTAAAGACAGCCCTTAACCTATTTACCGCCTACAAATTGACCCTAATTCCTAATAGACCCAAGGGTTATATTAGGAGCAACGAACATATATACTGAGCAACAGGTATACGCATTGAACAACGGATATATGGACTGAGTAACAGGTATACTATTTAAGGTCTTTCCTGTTTTCGAGTCAAAGTCAATATTCCCTAAATTCTTTATATCAGACATGAATAGAGTTAATACAGTGTTATTGTCTGAGGGAGATCGGGAACTATCGAACGATAGAGTAGGATTGTAGCGATAGACAAGGATTGT